GCTTACTATATCATGATCTCAATGCTCTTATGATCTTATTCAACTCCTAAACACACTGTATACCCTTAGTACCAAAAATGTCTTCCCTTAATTCACTACCTCACTGAGTACATGTAAACACATACTCACATATATAAACATATATGTAAAATAAATTTCAATTTAATACATCATTTGTGTATCTTCTCAGAGCAGAATTCGTTCAGGGTAGAAGAGAACCATTGCTTAATGGCAAGTTGGCCTGTAGATGTTTAAGACACAGTATCTGCTACCGGAAGAGTAAAATCAAGTGAGCTCAGTGATACCAGAAGATTGGTCATAGATTAGTGGTTCCCAACTTGGGCAGGGCATTTAAAACCACTTGGAGTGCATTTAAAAATAGCTATGCCCATAACCCACTCCAAATCCACTAATAAAAATCGTGGAGAAAGGGACAGAGGCACGTGTATTGATGAAAATGTTAAATGTTAAAATTAGAGGTGACTGATCTTCAGCCAGGGTTGAGAGCCCCTGCAGGATGCAGCTCAATTACCTATTCACCCATGACACTTAATTTTGATGATAAATTTAACTAATTACTCAATGATCCCTACCTTGACTACTTAAGAAGCCAATCATCTTTCTACTAACTACTTCATTAAATTGGACTTAGAGCCTGGGACACTGATAAAGTACCAGGATCCAAAGATAAGCGATCCCTTAATTCTCAACCCTCACTTAATTCACCCTGCCCCCACCAGGGGAGTTCATCAAATGGCAGCTAGAGCCTCAAATTCTAAGATATCAGAACATAATTAAAGCCTTCCCCAAGGCTGCCCTGTTTCTTCAGCATCTCACCTACTCTGGCCTTATCTGATGTTGACTCAGCTGGTTCCCTACATTCCACAAATGCCAGTTTTCTTTATTTATTCTCAGCAGGTGGTGGTTAGTTCTCTGATGCTGCCCACAAACTCTAAAATGGCCTCTCTGGCCTTGACTTCTTCTCCAAGCTTTAGAAACCTCAGTTTCCCTTCTGAATCCTGAAACCTGACTTTGTCCCATCTAAATTATTCAGGGCCCTAGAAGAAAGGAACTTAACTTGCATTCATGTTCCTGCCAAATTTGTTTCTTTACCAGACTCTCCACCTGGATGTCAGCTATCTTGCCATTTTTCTATTTGTAATTAGATCAAGGAATAGTTTTTATACTTAATTTACAAATACTGCAATATTTACCTCAGAAATTAGACTTCTCCCTATAACATGTAGGACTGTATTACAGGAGATACAGTCAAGAGGAACTTGCAGATGTCCCATCACTATGCAAGAAACAAAATTACTATCTTTAGGTTGATGGGTTATTGTAAGTCAATAAATGGAATTTTTTTTAAACAAACTGAAAAGTGAGAAGTGCGCTGGGTAAATTTCAGTGCATAATAACATACTAGACTGTGTGGTTTATGGCTATGAGCAGGGACCTAGAGATACAGTTCCTAGGTTTGAACCCCAGTCTACTACTAATTCATGTTTCTGTGTCTCTTATTCTCAATTTATAAAATGGGGACAGTAGTGGTACCTACCTCCTAGGTGTTTTGTTCAAATAAGTCAAGTAATATATGTACAGTGGTCTTCAAAACGTTGAGACCAGCAGATTGCACAATGGTTACGTTGCTGGACTCCCACATAGTCAACCACAGTTCGAGTCCCAGATGTGGCAGCTTGAACCTCAGGCCAGGCATGTGTGCATGCTTGCCCAGGATCCTGAGAGGAGAATGGATGAGTAGGGATTGTGGCATAGCCATATCTCCTGGGAGGTGATTTCTCACTTTCTGTCTCGCTGCCTCTCTCTCTCTCTCTCTCTCTCTCTGGTGAGTGCACACAACCTATAGCAAAAATCTCTCCAATCATTGTTTATGAAAAATGTGCAGTATGAAAAAAATATGCATGGATTTCAATTTTACCCCCAAATAAAAACATACTTTAATTCCAGTTTCCTACAGACTTTTTGAAGTACCCTAGTAAAGCTCTTTAAATAGTGCCTGCCTAGGTTTAGCATAATACTTTGTTAGTTGTTACTTTTTTTTTCCCACTTTTGCCAGGAGGAATGTGCACTCTCAAGAGAAAGAGAAAGCACTTCTTATATGAAATGGTCACACTACAATCCCTTCTCCCACATTTCCCTTTCCTACTGGGATTTCGGATACACACACACACACCATGTGTTTCTCAAGATGCCAACTGGGACTCAAATGCCTTGGTCAATTAAGTGAAATCCAGTCACCTTACCACCATGCTCTATGCTGGCCCTACTGTTTCTATTGAACGTAGGGGTATACAAACTTGCTTCCAGGAAAACAAAGCCTTTAAATCTATTTCACTGATGTACAGTAAGTGAATCCATTACAAATTATTTTTTCAAGTTGAATTTTCAGATTTCTAGTTTCTTCCCATTATTTTAATCAAATGGATAAAAGGATGAAACCTGAGTACTTCTTGACATTTCAGTACCAGTAACAATATCATTTAAAATTAGGTAAGCCTAGTTATAATTATGATATTATTTAAAACAACACTATGGACAGGGAATGTTTGGGAAGGAGGAAAAAAAAAAACATCATTTGCCACTTCTTAAACTGAAATTTTAAAAGTCAAAAAAGGGAGGGAGGATTTATAAGCCGCGGGTGACCTTTAAATGCCACATTCACTAGTATATAAATGTAAACACAGAACAATGTTATGTCTGGTAATAACAGTAAACTGATCAATGCAATTACATTATGGATTCTATGATATTATAAATCGTGCTTCCAGTCCAGAATATCAATAGCTTTTTAACACCTCTTAAGATCAAATTACAGTGCATTAAATGTCATCTGTTTCATTCTGTGTATTTACAAGCCTATAGTTTACCTCAATTACTTGGACAGTTCCCTGTACTAAACTTTTAGATATAAAAGATTTGAGAGCATAAATTATTTTTAATAATGAGTTAAAAACAAATTCTTCATGTCCATAAGACAATCCTTAAATGAGATCCACTTTAATCATTTGTCTGGAGTAATGTTAGTATTAATATTTGTCGACTTTCAGGTAAGATAAAATTTCAGAGAGAATTGGTTACTTGTCCAAGTCTCAAGGTGTTTGTTTTCAGGTTATCACCATAAGACGCATACAATCACTGGAGACAGAGAGAGAGAAAATAAGAAAACACTCCCCACTGAGTGTGGCCATGTCACAATTCTTTCCCCTCTACTCTTCTCTCAGGAATTTGGGCATGTATGCACATGCACCTGGTGTGATATTCAAGCCACCATGTCTGGGACTCGAACCACGGCTGTCCATTGTGGAAATCAGCACCTTAACCACATCACCTGCTGGTCTCCCAAATCTCAGTTTTCACAAACTGAATACAAGATACAAACAGCATACAGTAGAGTAACAAAAGCAAAACAAAACAAACATTGGAGTAGATTCTCATGTTACTTATTTTTTTCTTAGAAATATTTGCTATAGGGCACATGTGCTCATTGGTGAGTCAGAGAGACAAAAAGTGAGAAATCGCCTCCAGAGGGATGGCCACACAGCAAACCCTGGAAGATTTTGAGCATGTACACATACATGCCCGGTGTGTTTCAAGTCACCAGATCCAGAACTCAAACCATGGTGGGCCATGTAGGAGTCCTGCTGACCCCAATTCTCATATAACTATAAAGTTCACTTTGTCTTTCCACTTTTATCTCAACCTCATAAGCAGAGTGTTTACTATAATAATAGACCTTTTACTATACTCTCCTTTATCTTTTGACTCTTAAAGCAATATACATATATATTTATTCAGGGGTTTTCAGTTTTGTCCCTTTTTCCTGTACAACAATCTTTAGTGGAGTCACAGAAAGTTTTCTCAAATCCCTAAACTCTATCTGGAAGAAACTAAACTACTTCTATAGTTTGGATGGCCTATAAGATGTTAAAAGCAATTACGCTATATTGGCCTATCCACTATTTCCATAGGCCCATGGCACCAGAGCAAATAAATGTTAAGGGAAAATTTGACTTCTTAAATGAGAGTTTGTGACTTTCTCTGAGGAGAAAAATATGCTTCATGTGAGAATTCAAAAAAATTAAAAGGTTTTTTTCAACACTTTTATTAAGAGGGACCATGGAAGAAGTCACAGTGGCCCATACACAAACACTTGTCAGGAGTTTCAGAGTTCAGTTGGATTTTCTGAAAATGCATTGCACACTTGTAAAAAACTGTCATTAAATTTTTATGTGTTCTGGACTTCAGGAACATTTCTTCTCATCGTCTTTCTAATTCAATGATCACCTAGGACCTGATGCAGCCCATACACCACAAAGTGCTCATAGAATGTGTGGCAGTAAACTGGAACCATTCACAACGGAGCCTGGTTGGTGTAACAGCCTCCTGTCACCTGGTTCCCAAGTCACTAAGAGAGGGCAGCTCATGAGACTGACACTCTAAAGGCCCCATTACTTATGACTTCTCACTGTTATTTACACCAACTTCCTTACTTCAAGGAGCTGAAGCAGGGCAGGCCTTAAAGGGTCAAAAAAAAAAAAAATCACACTTTGAAGGGAGCAAGGCCTGTTAAGTTTCTCCCAAACAGGTTCTAAAGCAGTGCTAATCAAACAGGTCTTCCAATCACCTGGGGATCTTGTTAAAGAGCAGATTCTGAGTCAGTGGGCTTCTGTTAGGGCCGCAGATTGTGCATGGCTAACAAGCCCCAAAGTGATTTAGATGCTGCTGTTCTGCCACCACTCTTTGAATGGCAAGGCACACAAATGCCCGAAACCACCCAGGTCACTTATATTAGCAACATACAAAATGGTCATAGGTTGTGCCCAAAAGGCGTCTGGGTGCTCTGATTCCCCTGAGCGCCTCCACGAGGTCTGCGGGGCACCTGGCAGGTGCTTTGGCCTCAGGGCGCTCGCCGGTAGCCCGCCCAGCTGCCGCGCCCCCCTTGTTCGGCCCCGCCTGCGCGCCCACCGTGCCGCGCTCACCTTCTCCCGGGTCTTCAGGTACCGCTGCAGCGCCTGCTGGGTGAGCTCCCGAACGCGCAGTTGGCCCTCCTTGCAGGGCACGACGATGCCGGTCCTGCCGAAGCACACGGTCACTTTCATCCTGGTCCCCGGTGACCACGCGGGGACGGCTGAACAGGTGTCTTAGTCCTGCGGGCTCAGCCCCCACCTCAGGGAACGCCTGGCGCGGGCGGGCCCGGAGCCCCGGGGAGCCTCTCCGGGCGCCCTCTCCGGGCCAGGAGCTCGCTGCTGCGACCCACAATCAAAGCAGGAGGCCAAGGGCAGGTGGGAACTTCGGGAGAGGGTGGCAACCAAAAGGGCTACCTCCCAGGTGGCCGGCGGCCCAGGACACCGCGGCTCCCCCCGCCCCCCCGCTCCGGTTTCTGCTAGGGCCGAGGCCGGCTGATCTGCGCCCGCCAAATCGAAACTGCCGGCCTGCCCAGCCCTGGCCCTAGCCTTGGTTCTGGTGACCGTGGCAGGGCCAGCCCCAGGCCCCGGGCTAGAGTGGGCGGCGGCGGAGCGCGGGGCCAGAGTTGGGAGGAAACTTTTGCGCCGGCTCCTAACTCCTCCGCGGCAATGGGCTCCCGCAGCCCGGGCCCGCCTGGGCCCAGCTCTTAAAGGGGCCGCGGCGCTGCTCGGGCCCCGTGGCGCACTCTACTGCGCCAGGCAGGGGCCATACGGGGCGGTAACTGGAGCCCGGGAGCCTAGTCCCTTCACGCGGTCTCTCTGTGGCTCTCTTCCACCCGCGCGCGGGCGCGCGCGCAGACACACACTCAGCTCTGGGGAATTGTAACGGGACCTGAGAGCTACCCACTGGGGATTGAAACCGGATCTCATAAAGCACACCGGAGGGATAGCTAGGAGACTGCAGAGTTAAGAGCCCACAAGCAGGTGCTTCTTGCCACGCCCACTCAAAATACCCCTAGGAAGCAGCAGGGGCTCCCTGGTACTGAGATGCACTTGTGTTAAGCACAGCCTGACTGCTACTCTCTGGAGCCCTGAGACAGTAGAGCTGAAGGGAGCCTTGATGAACCATGCCTTTTACAGATGAATACATTGAGTGTTACGCCAGTTGTCACACCCCAGATCCAGATATGACCATGTGCACACACCCTTCTGAAATATTACTGCCGTTGCATTGGCTATATGTATCATTAGGCTCATGATGGGGTGTGTATTCATATATATTACATATATATTATATTATTATATTAATATTATATATATTAGGCTCAAGATAGGGTGTTTATCCATCACCAACTGAACTCAGGGTATCTACAAAAAAATTCAACAAATAACATTTGTATCATTCTTACCCCTCACATAAATGAGTTCTTTTGAGCTTAACAACAACTCTGTGGGTAAATATTAACTTCTGCATAAGAAAGGGATTCAGGGAAGTTAAGGGGCTCAGAAGATGGTGGTCTTCATTATATTGGGGAGAGAAAAAACAAAAAACAAAAACCTCAGGTCTCAGGTCTTCCCAGCAATATTTGTGGTTTTCCCAAGCAGTTTTATTCACAATCCAGTTCATCCAAGAAGATCCTCAGGGCTACATCATTGTTTCTCTACAAAAGAATCCGGTACTATGTCAAGATACACTTCAATTAAACTTGAGTTGCCTAGGATGGTGCCATAATGCATAAGGGATTCAATTAATTAGTTTTGAGAATGTTTAATTTCAGCTCATTCATAATATAGGTTGTCACTGAGGACTGGGACTACATGAGGCCTGAGTTCAACTCTTAACCAAACTAAAAGCTTGGTACAGTAGCATGCTCTTAGTAGTAGTTTTGGTAAGTCTTACCCTGTAATTTTGCTTTTAATTTTGATACCTCTTTATGACTTAACAATAAAAAGGATGGATGATTTTTATCAACTGTCTCCCAAATAATCTCTTGTTATGCAGGAAGTACAGATCTTTTCATTCATTGATGAGGTCAGTAGTTGCTTCCCTAGCTGCAAAGGCAGTATCATTTAGTCGAGTAGCACCTGAGAGCAGCTGTGAGTTAGAAGTATGTTTTATGCCCCACATTAGAGTGCCTGCGGGGCTGCTAGATCACCACATTTAGACTCAAGTCTTAAAATGTGTGTGTGTGTGTGTGTGTGTGTGTGTGTGTGTGTATTTAGGTCCATGACAACAAAGAAGATCATATAAGCCAAGTTGAATCAAAGAAAATGTATACCAGTCAGTGTAATTTGGTAGCAAATCCAATACAAACTAATTTAAAGAAACCAAAGACAGAATTGATTTTCTGATACAAACAGAAAATTCAACGAACACTCTGTTGAGGCAAAGTTGAAAGCAGAAGCTCAAAACAGGTCCTTAGGAACTATCTCTGTTTGTCTATTGGCTCTATATTCCTCGATATGTTTTCCATTCTCAGATGAGCTTTCCCCAAAGGAGTCACTTCATGCTTCTTTTAGAGGTGAGGAACTGAGGCCAAGGAGGTTAAACGCTTGGCTTAGTGCCTTCTTAGAAAGCAGTGGAAAGGCTAGGCGGATGTATGGCAGTAAAATATGACACTCTGCATGGCCTATCCATCTGGGAAGGTTCCAGGTTCATGTCTGGAGACCTCCCTGAATATGGTGGGCACATGTGTGTCCATGATCAGGGTTGGCTGAGGGTGGATCACAGTGTCAAGACCCAGTTGGGGGTATGCTCTTTCTCTCTGTCTTTCTTGCTCATGGGAGAAGTGAATAAACTATAAATACATACATATGGTTGCAGAACCTAGATTAGAACCCAGGCAGCTTGACTCTAGAACCTTCACAGCAACTATGCTACTTCTTACATAGGAAATCCCAAATGAATAGATCAAACAAACAAGCAAATATTCATGTCATGTATTAATGTACGGCCCTCAATTTTAATATTGGGAATTATTGAGACATGTGGAATAGAACAGAGGAAGGATTTTCAGCTGGTTATGAAATAACTTTGCATGTTGTCATCCTTCATGTATCATATCTTTGATTTTCTTCATAGTTTTTCCAAAGTCATGAAGAACTCCTGCTGCTTTTTTTTCCCTTGCTCGTGCTTCTTTTCATACCACAACTCCTTTTCAGTGCAGCTGTAGCCAGCCTCTACACTTAGAGCACCCACCCTGTGTCCTGGCTTTGGGACTCTCCAGGTGAACCATAAAGAATACATACCCAGGTTCTCCTAAACTCACCACAGGAAGATTGTGGCAGAGGACATGCCATTGTGAGATGAAGGAAGAGATGAAAGTAGAGATGGATGTGAACAACATACTGTGTGAATCTGCACACCAAGGAGCAAACCCTTATGAACACAAGTTAATGATTATAAAAAGAGATTAGCATTTACTTTTCATGCTTATTAAACAGCCATGTATAGTTCATTATTCAGCCTTATCACTGCATGCATAGAAAGAACTGAACATATATTAAAAAGAGCAAGCCAGTCAATGGCATGATGGTTAAGCCAAATGGATTCTACATGGCTGACTGCATGGTTTGAGTCCTGACATGGCGACTAGAGAAACACACCTAATATGTGTGCATGTTCAAAATCCCCAAAGGAGAGAGAAATGGAGGAGAAGCAATTGCAGCAGAACGATTCCCCCATGGGGTGGGGATGCTTTCTGACTTCTCTCTCTCTCTCTCTCTCTCTCTCTCCCTCTTTCCACACATGCATACAAGTGCACATGCTGGGCACGTGTGCGTGTGTGCCCAAGATCCCAAGAGGAGAATGGAGAAGGGATTGCAGCATGGCTATCCCCCCTGGAGGTGATTTATCGCTTTCTGTCTCTCTTTCTGGCGAGCGCACGTGCCCTATAGCAAAAACCTCTCCAAAAAA